ATGACCAGGAGTAACTGCTTTGTAAGTCATCCAATCTGCCTTTGAAATCGTGTTTATATTGAACGATATTGAGATCTGAGTGTAATCGAGAAATCTTCAAGATTTGAAAAAGATTGTCTGAAACGAACTCCTAGCGACAAACTGGCATTTTAAGAATATTTCATTGAATAAACTCTAATATCTAAATATATTTTGTAAAGAGAAACTATTTTAAGTCCTGGACAATATATATGGAATATCTGAAAAGTTTTTCTTATATATAGCGTGACTATTCAGGATTTTGGCGATTGTGGCTCTCCGTAATCTCCTATCAAATTATAGCTCTTAAAAAAAATTTATCTCTTTCTTATCTCACCTAAACCTTGTTCCGTTATCTATTTATTCATATATACCACTTTACCTTCAAACTGTCTCGTGTATATCAAAGCACGCTTTGCTCGATGTGTTCTCTCAAAGTTTTAAATCATTCTTTATAATGTTAAGTACATTTTTTTGTTTCCATTTTCTCTAAAACTTTTTGGTCCATTGTATCCTCGGCATGGTTCTGTTGATTCAACTCTCTTCATCATCTGTGAGGGGATTGTCCAACATTCACTGGCATAGAGTAGGAGAATTATTACATAAGAGTTCAGTATTTTTTTATTCTCGGTATCCAAATGTGATTTACTTTTTTGCTTGTAATTTTAGATGAGATGATATTTTTGCAATAATGATTGTTTTCTATAAGTTAATGCAAAATTTCTCCATGCCATAACGAACTTCTTCCGATATATATATATATATATATCAGAGAGGATCCCCAGACGTGGCTATGTCGAAAGACAGGGTTTCGTCTCGGGAAACAGCTACCCGACACCGTTTTATACGAAGTCTGCGGAGAATTTTTGGCCTAGGCTACGGGCTCGGATACCCCACATTAAATTCGGCCTTATGCCACATCTGAGCGCGTGGAGCGGTTGGTAGATATCCCGCAGTTGTAGATATATGAGTTAGAACGACTCACACAAATTTTTATACATGAAGAAAAATTTAGAGGGCAAAATATATAACACAATGTTAAAAGTTTTCGTGTGATCTGTTTCCTCATGTTTCATCAGCATAAATAAACGTAGTCCAATGGAGTCCTAAAGGACGAAATGTGTAACGCGAAAACCCTTTGCCTTAGATCGTTCGCCCCATATATATAAAGGTCGAAAGTACTCGGTTTTAAAAAAAGTCTTCCTTGATGAATTTCATCTTAACATCAAGAACTGGAAAAGAACAGTATAAACAATTTGAAAAGAATATGTTTATATTATTCAATGACACATTTTTGACAGAAGATATTTCATATATATATATATATATATATATATATATATATATATATATATATATATATATATATATATATATATATATATATATTTAAACCGGTTGCCACACCAGAAGAAAATAATCTTAAGAATATGGATCATAATTTATTATTAAAATAGGATTCAAAATGATGACGACGTTTAATATTTAAAGCGCCTTTTGACCGACCTTTCCTCAGACATATATTCGTCGGCAGACTAAAACAAGTTTGTTGATAAGAAAATTTTTTACCAACAACTGATATTAAGATGTAAATTACCGAATTAGGGGAGAGAATAAGAAAAAAATAATATTGTTCCGAGTTAGGGGACTGACTCCCCAAATAAGGCCAACTTTCATCTCCCGTTGTCTACACAGGCCAGGACGTTGTATATTAATAGTAACAGACTCCAGAGTGTCTAAATTGAGTCTGGCCCGTGCCCTGTACAAGACAGAAAAGAACTCAGAGAATAGGAGAATATATATATATATATATATATATATATATATATATATATATATATATATATATATATATATATATATATAAAATAAAATAGACCACTTTGAGGTTCCATGTAATAAATTTATTACATGGAACCTTAAAATGGTCTGTTTTTATTTAATATACATATATATGGATTTTATCCTACTTAGGTTTACCAATACGGATTACCTAGTTTTTCAACAAAACTACCTATATATATATATATATATATATATATATATATATATATATATATATATATATATATATATATATATAGTATATTATACTTAGACGGCAAGGGTTTATCCAAATAAGTTTTAACAAAATTTAATTTGCTTAAAATTTTATTTTATTTTTCCAATTTTCGAATTTGACGTTAAACAAAATTTTGAATAAACTGCCCGAAGTTCATTTTATTCTATTTTCTTAAGTGCATCGTCTTTCTCAATCATTCTTAAAAACTCTGCGTTGTTCATGTAGTAGACATGATTTGATTGGATACATACCTGGCATCTTCTATCACTATGTACACCATGCTGGGTAAGACGATAAACTACTTCCAACAGCAAGGCCTCTGGTCAGGTGGTCTTGAGAAGAGTGGAAATATATCCAAATAAATAAATGAAGTAATAAATAAATTAAATTAAAAACTGTTCCCGCCAAAATAATATTGAGAATAAACTACAGCAATCAACCTCAAAATTAAATAAATAGCTTTATCTTCCCAAACCAAAACAAAACTATTAAATAAGTGATATAAACAATTTTTTACTGCGTTAATAAAACACCGATTGAAATAAAAATAAATAAATATATAAGAAAAGAAATAAAAATAAAAATAAAAAATAAAAATAAATAAAAACAAGCAAAATAATTTAACCCAAATAAATAAACAAATAAACGACTTCCGTCAATATAACCGCCAAAATAGACAACCCACAATGCACCACTGACCCGTATATATAAATAACCGAGAAAAAAAAACAACACTCGTGGCGTGACGATTGCGTTGAGGCAGTCGACTCTGACTGTGTGCGACTTCTGTCGAACTCTCTGCTTTGGCAGAGAGGAACCCGGACGGCAAAGATTCGTCCGGGGAGGTAGACAGGTTCCGAACCCGCTTATGCCGGTTCTAAGGGATTATTTTTTGGCCGAGACTACGGGCTCGGAGAAACCCACGTTAAACTCGGCCTTGTGTCCCATACATTCCTCATGGGGGGACTGTTAAATATCGACCTGACGATTGCTTCTAGCAGGAAACAGACTGTCGCCTCCAAGTGCTGACTTCAATGTCCACTTTTATATTTACACACGCTCTATCTCTAATGTTGAGCACTTTATACCAAAAATATAGCACACCTTGAGAGTATATTTCTTCATATATATATATATATATATATATAGAGAGAGAGAGAGAGAGAGAGAATGAGGAGAAAGAGAAGGAGAGTGTTTGTAAAGATATATAGAAACTGTACTGTCTACGATAAAGGTATAGTTTTAAGTCATGCTATATTTATGAGTAAAATACTCAGTATCAGAGATAAAGTGTATGTAAATGCAAAATTGGAGACTTTAAATCCCAAGTGGCGACAGCCTGTTTTATACTTAAACGCAATCTTCAGGCGTTCAAGCTTAGGGTTAACCACATTGTCCAATTTTACAGACAAACACTGACACAAACATATATATATATATTTGTGTGTGTGTGTGACAGAGTTTGGATAAGTACGTCCGTATCTTGACATGTAATTAAGCAAAAATTACAGTTTTGCATAGACTCAAAAAGAGACAGTTTGCGAATAATGAGGAAAGAATGCTTGACGAATTTGATACTCACATGACAGATTGAAGGCAAGAAAGACAGAAGAAAGCAACGAATAACCTGCCAAACCTGCTTGTGCAAATGGTTGGCAGAAAAGGGACAAAATGACAAACCTTACTGAGAGCTAAGAACGTCAGGAAGTTGTGGAGAGCCATTTTCGCCCACGTTCTGAAAGGAGACGTACAAAGAAGTGGAAGAAGAAAAAGGAGGAGAAAAAAAGTCTTCAAAAAGGAATTAGTTTCTGATATTAAGAACTCTTCGATCGATGATTCATTCTCTCAGAGATATAATTGTTTGCCCCCAATGAAAAATCGGTGGCGTTTCTTTTGCAAAGACGCTTCACCATTTCTATAAAGGACATCAAATTGTTATTTTATTGCAAAAATATTAGTCAGATGTCTTTCTATTGATTGTAACCCTGTCAGAAATGAAAACACTGTAAAAGTCTTTTTCCTATAACAGGAAAATTAATAATTATTCTTTTATTACAGATAATCAAAATTATTTCCATAACAAGAACAAGATCTAATTTAAACTCTTCAGGTTGGAAAAGAAAACTATTGTATTGCTTTTAAAGTGTTATATCCCTTTTGGATGTAACCGCTCAGGAATCGCCTTGGATTCTTTTTTCTTTATTATCTGTGAATTGCCATTTATACTTGAGAAAGTTAGTAAAGCCTTTCTTCCGATACCTCCTCCACGGTTAGCACTTCAGGATTTACTTCTCTTAGACTGCTTGCTACCCAAGGCTAGAGAAACCTGCCTGTCTTGCTATTTAACCCATTGCTGGAGGAGACGTTGTGGCGGCCTTTCACCACATTTATTTAATTTGTTTAGGAACCCAAACTGGTGTGAAGAAAGGGACAAAGCAAAGGTATTAATATATACAAATTGTATTCAGCAAAACATAAAATAAAGAATGTATACGAAAGAGCCAGCAAAGAGCAAGACGAAAGTTGTCTCTCTTTGACTATCAAAAGAAAATGAAAGAGTCATTAGTCTGTTATAAATGTTTTAAACAGTTCTGCCGTGCAAGAGGAAATTATGTAAGTGTGAAAGAATATGCAGTTTGAGAGTTGAGTGAGAAGATGGGCACATAGCCTCAACTGTCGTGGATTTCTGTGGCAGTTGAAGGTCTCACTGGTGCGCTCCTCTTTTCTTATGCTTATATAGGTAGTCATTGAATCGGGAGCGCCGCGCGGGAAAATCATTCTCCACATGCAGAGAACCTGATTGGTCCATACTGCCAGATGTGTCAGCAGTATTCGATGCATGTATGAATGGTAACAATATGAGTTGCTCTGGAGATATGGTTTGAATTTGAGACCCAAAAGACATTCAATGTAAATAAACATGTTGAGAGTGGAATCGTTAATCGTGACCGAAAAAACGTGTGTCTGAACGGTAATAGATAGATAGATAGATAGATAGATAGATAGATAGATAGATAGATAGATAGATGCGCTTGCTTTTTGATAGACGGACATTTCTAAGCTCATGCTCGGAGCCCAAATTCAGCTGCTGTTTCTTTTTTTTTCTTTTTTTTTTTTTCAATTCAATATCTTTAGCGTGAATAAAGGCCGATTGATTTTATTAAAAGTGGACGTTTTATTGCAGATAAATGCCTTGCATAGAACTCAGTAATATCAGCTCATATTTTCTTAATTTATTCTTTGTTACTTTATTGACAAGACTGATAAAAGCTGTCTAATGCAAACGATTATTGAGGGCAGTAGATGGTTATGAATAGGTTGCTATGGCTCACCAGTTAAAAAGATAGATAGATAGATAGATAGATAGATAGATAGATAGATAGATAGATAAAGAAGAGATTCAGATAGATAGATAGATAGATAGATAGATAGATAGATAGATAGATAGATAGATAGATAGATAAAGAAGAGATTCAGATAGATAGATAGATAGATAGATAGATAGATAAAGAAGAGATAGATAGATGAATCAGATAGATAGATAGATAGATAGATAGATAGATAGATAGATAGATAGATAGATAGATATTACTCACAATACGCAAGAAAAAATAGGAGAAATGTACATGTGAGAGAGTAAAGGCAGAGAAGAAACGTAAAAGAAAGAAAGAAAGAAAGAAAGAAAGAAAGAAAGAAAGAAAGAAAGGTACGTGAAGAGGTGATAATTATGCCATTGCAATTACCGGAACTCTCCGGTCATCCCACACTGAAGATGGCCAAAATTATTCAAGAAAATAATTCTGTGTTAGTGCGAAATTCCGGCGTGATTGAAATGAGAGAAAAAAAAAAGAGGAAACAGAATATCAAATGGAAGAATGGCTGAAAACTAAATTGCAAAACTTAGAAGGCGAGAAGTGATGAAAGTTAAAAGAAAATGAACCAAAAAGAATTTTTCAAGATGGCTACGAAAGAAAACTGGTGTGGAAACAAGTGAATGAGAAAAGAAAGGAAGCGAAAGGAAACGTGTTTTTCACCTTTTCTAGAGTGGATACAGCCTTCGAAATTATGCCTTTCGTCCAGGCCCCAAGAACATTGGCTAGTTTTATTTTTTCAGTTTTATATTTGTGTGTTTATATTTTGTTTTGTTTTTTAGTTCTTTTATTTATGTATTTATTTATTTCCTGCAATTTTGTTTCTTCAAGGTGGATGAGGCAAGGATTTTAGGCGTGGTGTTGGCTAATAGCTAGAATAAAAAGGGAAGAAAAATGATAGGATGTTGCCTTACAGAGATATTGGAAGTTCGTTGAGTGATAGCGGTCGTTTGACCCGAAAGAAGACCTTAATATCAAAGAACAATTTGAGGAAAAGGGTTCTGTTAGCGATCGTAAGAAATTTTCAACTGCGACTCGCTAAAATCTCTCTTTATTTTTGCTTTTATAACCTAAATTGCGAGATATGCAAGGTTGGAGTAGCGAAAAGCATAAATGGAGAAAGAAAGAAGAGAAAAGACGAAACAGAGGAAAAGAAAGAAATACGTAAAAGACAGAAATACGTAAAAGACAGAAATAAAAAAATGGAGAAAATATTTTCAAAATAACATCTGAGAAAGAAAGAGAATATTTTTAAATAAATTAGTAAAGAAAGAAAGAAAGAAAGAAAGAGAATATTTTTAAATAAATTAGTAAAGAAAGAAAGAAAGAGAATATTTTTTAAATAAATTAGAAAAGAAAGAAAGAAAGAGAATATTTTTAAATAAATTAGAAACGAAAGAAAGATTTTTTAATTTAGAAATTTTTTTTAATTTTACAGTGAAAAAAGAACAATTTATAAAAAAATAAATTTATAAAGCAAGAAAATATATTTTAAATCCATAAAAAAGAAAATATTTTTGTAATTTAGAAAGAAAAAAAGGAAGAAAAAATAAAATGGTTTAAAAGTAAATTTAGAAAAAACACGAAGAAAAGAAATATTTTAAATAAATTTAAAAAGAAGCAAAGAAATTTTTTTTTCAATAAATTTGGAGAGAAAAACGATTTTAAAAAACAATAAAAAGAAAATGAAATATTTTAAATAAATAAAAAATATTCTAAATTAAAAGATAAGTGAAACAAGATTAAAAAAAACAAAATAAAGAGAAAAAATAGAAATTAATTAAGGAATCGAAAGTCGGAATAAAATAAAAATTGAAAAAGAAGAAATGAAAAAATGAGTTTGAAAAAAAGAAACGTTTTAAACAAAGAAATTTACAAATAAGTAACTAACAATAAAAGAATCAAAGCAATCATAGCTCTCCACAACTTCCTATCCTTTGTAATTTTTAGCTATCTTTGTCTTTTCTCCATCCCTCTGAATACCTGGTCTGCCAATCATTTGCACAAGAACGTTAGATAGGTTACTGACTGTTTTCCTCTGTCTTTCTTGTCTTCAGTATGTCCTGTGAGTGTCAAATTCTCCAAGCCCTTTTTCTTCATTATGTAATTTTAACTCTCTTTCTCTCTCTCTCGCTCTCTCTCTCTCACTCTTTCCCCCTCTCCCTCTCTGATCCTAAGCATAAATGTCGTTTTTTTTTATTTCATTTCCCCTAAAGCTTCCAGGTTGCTCGCATATTTGCTCCATGGTATTCTCTGCATCCTTCCATAGAACCACGTTTCTGTTCCTGCAGGATCCTTTTTCATCTGTGAGGCTATTGTCCACCATTCACTGCTACATAGGAGGACTGATATTCTACAACATTCTACGAATGTCGCTCTGCAGAGGTGTAAGCCAAAAATGAGTTGTCCTGGGTAAGACGATAAACTACATCCGCGTCATCGGTAAGATGATAAACTACATCCGCGTCATCGGTAAGATGATAAACTACATCCAGCGGCGGTGCCTCTGGTCGGAAGGTTTTGAGGAGCATGGAACAACCTCTTGATTGATGGTGATCCCAGGTCTGCCCTGGCACAGGATGGTGGCACCTGCTGGGGTCCCAGTTATGGGCGGTTGGTTGGCCCCCGAGCTGGGATCGGAGCACTGTGAAAGTGTTAAAATGGGTTTCTTATGCTATCAATGGATTTTTTTAGAAAAAGGATGTTGCCAGTGATGCATTTTGGGGGGAGAAAATGTTACCAGCGATATATTTTTGAAGAAGGAAGAAATATTACCAGCAATACTTTTTTGAAGAAAAAAAATTACCAGCACTACATTTTAAAAAATATTACCAGCAATAAAAAATCTTGTCGGCATTAAATAACACGTTGAGGTTGATAAACTGTAAAACAAAACAAACCAAACCAAATTCTAAGAATGTATACACTGACTGAGCGGTCAGTTCTACAGTCGATTGAAATTTATAAAAGCTTTCTAAAAAAAAAAACAGCTTTTTTGGAAAATAGTCTCCTCACATGCAATGTTATGCATTTGCTACAATATAGGATGACTAGTATATTATCGCAGTTCAGCACGCTACGAATGCTAATTTCTAAAACAACAAGCTTCTCCCACCTAGAATATTAGTATAAAACAATTCTTATCTGTGGATTGCTATGCCTTCTTTGGAAAAATAGTGGAGTGGCTTTCCGTTGCATCTTGTAAAGTTTGGAATTCAGAATAGTTCAACTCTTAGACTAACTTCCACTCAAGGCAAGAGAGCTCAGTCCAGTCTACTATTTAACCCATAACTGGAGGAAGAAGATATGGATTCACGTTTTCTCCAAAAGTCAACGACAAAAAAAGTAACCACAACAAACTAGGTCGGGATTTGATCTCAGACCATTCGGATAAAATACATCGATAATTGCCAAATATATGACCTGCACATTTTGGTTATTGCTATAATGAAATAACAAAATATTCAAGAGGCCAGAAACATATACATAGAATTAGCATTTTATTTCATCAATCCTACATTATTTAGGCAATAAACTATAATAGTAATAGTAGCCGTTTCCTTATAAGGAAATGTTTGTTGTCCGAGCAGCCAGTGTTATATTCTGTTGAAATTTATAAAATCTTTCTCTTAAAACAGGTTTTTAGGGAAATAGGCTTCTGAAGTCACTTGTTATTGCTCTTTCCAATATTCCTGGGGACTTCCTTTCTATCCTTTTGCTTGAAATAGTGCGATACGCCATCTTGATTATGCCATCATTTTCGCTTCGAGTTAAATGTGCTAGCCATTTTAGTTGTTGCTGCTATTGAAAGTCTTCAAATGATGTTATCACGTACAGTACTTTGCTTGTGATTCTGTAGCGTCAATTCACGAGGTTCGTAAAAATGTGGTCTTCGTTTGAGCTACATGCTTCATTCGGCCGAAGCCATGTTTTAATCATTGGTTCGAAGTTATCGATTGTATACCGCTGACAGTTTCGATATTTCTGAACAGTCATGACGTCATTGATTTGACGAATTTATTCAAGAACACGATTGTAGTTTAAAGAAAGACGTTTATTATAATCAAAGATAATGTTTATTATAATCAAAGATAATGTTATCAAACGTTTGTCTTTATCAATATCAGTCGGTCGCAAACTGTAAAGAATTAAATTACATTAACTTTTAAAACATAAAGTTGTTTAGAATAATGAATAAATTGTTCCAAACTTTATATCATTTTTTAATATTCTCAGCTGGGTACTGTTATCTAAAAGAAGTTGTCAGGGTGGTGTTTCCTTCTTATAGTTGGAACACAGGGGAAATAATGGCAATTTAACTACTTGGAAGTAAAGTACCTTAGTAGTAAAGGTCTGAAGATTTTCTATGGAAAAAACGATAGATTAGCGACAGACTTGAAACTTTGCGTCTGTTGGAAAATGGTTGTAGAATGTAAGTATGGTAGCAATATTTCGTTTTTGGGTTGATCTTATTATTGAAAAGATACAGCATTGCAAAAGGGACCAGATACTTCCTGGGGTGATTTTTTTTTAATCTGATCTGACTTGTTGCAAAGAGACTCTTATCTTTTTTGTATGGCACCAGTGCACGGACTCTACCGAAGTTATTGAACCAGAAACCTTATGGTGCTTAAACCAAGAGTCTAAGAAAGGGGAAAAATGTCAGTTGGCAGCAACATATGACTAACTAAATGC